AACTGACTGACTGACTGCGTTCCAGTCGTCTTCAGAGTCGCTTGGCCCTTTCGTCTAACGACGGTTCCGGGTCAAGTCCGGTAAACATACGCGCAACATTGTCGTAGGAGTAATGGCTGCCACCTATGTTCATCGGTTAAACACATAGGTTGAGCATAATGGTGTTTTTTCTACGCTGACACGTTACCTTACTGAAGACCATCTGCGACTTCGCATCTTACAAAAACGCGTTCCACATCGCTGTATATCCGTCTACGTTACTGACCCCATAGTCGATCTCCACAAAGCCGACATCGAAGTCAACGCCTTGGAGAATGGGTGACGAACACAGTACGGGATATGGGCCAAGACGAAGTCAGCGAAGCGTATTTAATCCTCAAACTGCTAAGATTACCGCAAAGGTTTGTCAGAATCTAGAACAGGTGGTTAGCGATGGTTTGATAGATTCTCATGCTTACACAGTAAGTCTGATGTGTAAGTCTCGTGTGGAAGGATTGGAACCATGAACAACATCGTCTGCATGAAGGACGCGAGGAGAAACCTTTTCATCGCACCGTCTGAAGCTGCTGTTGCCACTGAACTAAAGGGAGATCGAGGTGTCCCTAAACAGATGGCATCTGCAAATGATCACTTATCAAGTCATATGAATCACACAGCGTCATATTAGATGGCTCCACGCTGATTACTAAATGGTCGAAAGTTAATATGATTCGAGTAATGCAGCGAGCTTCATTCTAAGGCAATAGTTTTGAATCAATGAATCAATTCTGTTGAAAGTCAGTCCTATGCTGCATTCAGAAAAACTTCTAAGAAAGCATTATGTACTATATCTTAAGATCCACTCTCTCACTGTCTAGTCCATTATTTCGATATAAGAGACAGAAGATTCTGGAATCCTAAAAACCATCTTACTTGGCACAGATGAGTATCCAATGCTCAAATAGAAGACAAGGCGATTATGGAACGGTGCCGGGAAAACAAGCCTTCTAACAGTGCCACATGCAGCTCGGTGGAATCATTGACCTTCGTGTATGCTCGGAAGCGGGAAAACATTGAATTTTCAGTTACGCGTGACGACACTGCTGCCTATTTTCCCAATCGCTCATGGCATCTTTTTTGCAGCATTTGTCCAATGTGGCAACTGCTACCATCAGTTTCCTCATTACGCTTACGATGTAAACAGTGGTTTCTGTTTTTCGTCCTCCAGGACAAACGAAACCTCCACATATTTGCCACCCAGATTTGTGATGCCTGACTCGCTTAGAAGTGTTGTTGGTTGAAAATGAATTAAGGAGCGAGCTAGGGAACGAACTATTGGCTGAATCAATGAATATTGGAAAAAGATTAAAATTTTGATGCTGAAGAGCATCACTGACAAACATCGCGTTTTTGGCACGCGAAAAAGCCAAAATGGAATCGTAGCATTAAAGGAAATGAAAGTACTTGGCAATAAAAGATATTCTGAAAGCTGCAAAGAACACGATTTATTAATACACAACAAAATACATAATATGGTCAATCAGATGATTAACCAATACCGACTTTTCGGCCTGTGGCTCAGAAGCTTTCTTTGCGGTAGGCAGTTGGTATGTTTCAGAGGGTCTTTTATTGTCGGCAACGGTCGGCGAGTCTGGAGCGAGATGGCAAGCCTCTTGTCCGTGCTGTTAATCAAACAGTTTCTGTGCTATAAAGTGGGTAATGCTCTTCCAATCCACACAGAGGTGTATGCTGTGTCATGGCGCAAACCTCATTGACTAAGTACCAGAGGATTAATGCCTCCTTGACACGCCAATGTCTGTTTTTGATGATGCCCATATTTTTTTTACCACTGAGGGCTTGTCCTTGCTGTGTCGCGTGTTGCACAATCCCGGATACCTTTTCGCACTGTTTATGCCCTTGCTGGGACTGAAGCATCGTTTTCTTCCTGGCTGCTTCGCTCTAACGCGTCGCTCACGCTCTTCAGCGATCATCCTTTATCTCCAGTTTGGCAGGAAAACTGGCGGCATGGGTCCTCCAGTCCTGAAAAAATGTCATCCGCAACGAAGGACCCAAAATCTGCGCGGATTGAATGAGCCCTGTTTCCTCTGTGGTCCAGAAACATTTCCACCAACATGGACCCAAAACTTGCCTTCTGCCTTGAAATCCACCAACTGCTGCGGACATCAAGAGAAACTCGCGAAGCTCTATCAACCTCTTACTTTGAAGAAGGCTCGTGAGACACGAGACTACTGTCGGTAGTGGCGAATCATCTGATTCACCACATTATTTTTTTGCATATTGATAATCAATGTTTTCGGTTTTTTCAGCATGAACATCAACTCACGAAAGAAATTCTCTTGTCTAATAAAGAGAGCGAATATAATTCGTTGAATGGAGTGAAACAATCGGATAAAATAGGAAGGCAGCAGAAGGTGGAACAAGTAATACAATGGAATGAAAATATAAAACGATGTTACACTGAGAATAGTCAAATCATACCGTTGAACTGTCCTGCAAAACCTGTGAATATGCGCTGATGATGGCGCAAATGATCTGCTAAATGGCACCATCATCTTCGAGATATTCATACATTGATATCGATTGACTTACGGTAGTACAGCCACTTTGAACGACCGGGTGAATAAATAAATAAATAAATAAATAAATAAATAATAAATAAACAAACAAACGAATGAGCGAACAAACAAGTGAATGAATGGACTGTCTTCGTGGATTCGCATAAGAATTTTTATTCTGGGTTTTTTTCCCAATTACATTGAGCAGTAAGCTTTCCACAGGAAGCTCCTCTATGAGATGCCCAATTCTGTTCAGTCGTCCACTGAGTTTGCAGTCAGTTAACATCAAAAGATTTCGAGCAATTTTCCGTTCGAGGGA